CCTGAACCCTGCTGCCAAAAATATGAGCAGAGTTTGTCATGGGGAGAGTGACAGTGGCACTGAGAGAGGGGGATTTCCTCACAGTCCTCGTGCAGGGAAGAGATGACCAGAGTCCCCAGAGGCTTGGGGACTGATCTTCCACCCTTGTTTATCAACTTTGAGTCCAAAACAAATATTCATGCACTTTGATCAGGGAAGTTGGAAAATACTACCCTGCTTTGGAAAGACAATTCCATGAGAAAAAGCCCAAATTCAGTTACAACTCTGAGTTACAGGTGATCTCCAGAAAGAAAATGCTGATGTGCTGAGTTGACAAGCCAAGGACATCCCCCAGAGAGCACATGTCAGCCAGCACCCAGGAAAAGCCTCAGGAAACAAAAAAAAATAAACCCAAAATCTCCTCCAGGAGTCCATACTTCAGAATCTCCCTTTTATATTTTTCCACCACAGTTTTACTAACCTTAAATAAACCCAACAACGCTGTCGCTCACGACACCATGCTCAAAGTCTCCATCATTCACTGCCTGCTTTCTGCTGTGATGCAAAAAGACTGGGATTTTGGATGGAACCCTCACTCTTTGCTTTGTTATTTTGGGAATTTTTCCATCAGCTAATGTGCAATGATCACTAATGAACCCAAAAGGCGAATCCTCCAGTTTGCTTTCCCTGGTAAATTCCCTGCTGGACTTCTAAAAAGCTAAGTACAAGAAGGTGAATCTCTTCATTTCAGGTACTAAAGACTCCAGCCCCCGCAAAGTTAAATAACAAACCCAGCTGACAAAACTATTAGTGGCTCTTTTGAGGTGAAAAATGGATTTCACAATTAAGAATCAATTAGATGCAACCCCACACTTCGATAAAGCAAAAATCCTTTATTTTCTAATAATTATTCATTGAGCACCTCCTGCATTGACCACACACTTAATGCTGTCCACTAGTCTTAATCATTTATTCAGAGAAAACTTTTTTCACTGAGAAGGAACCGGGATGGGATTTAATGGCACAAATTTTGGGTCTGCAGGGTTTGCCGTGTGACTACTGAATTCATGATGGTTTGGTAATAATAAAGTCAAGGTTACACATCTCAGGATGCCCCAATTACAAATAATTATAGAATCACAGGATGGTTTGGGTTGGCAGGGACCTTAAAGACCATCTTGTTCCACCCCCTGCCCTGGGCAGGGACACCTTCCACTAGCCCAGGTTTCTCCAAGCCCTGTCCAACCTGGCCTTGGACATTCCAGGAATCCAGGGGCAGCCACAGCTTTTCTGGGCAACCTGTGCCAGGGCCTCCCCACCCTCACAACCAGGAATTACCTGATATTAAGGTGTTGGTAGACAGAGTCTTTTAAACCACATTTAACTAATCCAAACCATTTTATTTCAGGTGTCACAAAGAGAGAAAAATGAGGAAAAAGCTTTTGCTTTTAGCCCTGGCATCAGCTGCAGGCAGTGGGGTTGTCCAGGACAGTGCAGATTTCATCATTCCCCTTTACTTGTGATGCCTGGTTGGGTTCTTTAAAAAGAAGGAAATGTAAAGGGAAATAAAAAGCTTTCCCATGCTGTCTTAGAGGCAGAGAAAGGAGAACTGATTTGAAATGGTGCATCTAGAGGGAAAATACTACTCCTGTACTCCACTGCAGGGCTGCTCTGCTGAATAGAGACACAGAATCCCAGAATGGTTTGGGTTGGGAGGGACCTTAAAGTTCATCTAGTCCATCTTCTGCCATTGGCAGGGACACTTTCCACTACCCCAGGTTGCTCCAAGCCCCGTCCAACCTGGCTCTTAACATTTCCAGGGAAGTTAAAAGCAATTCTGAGCCCAGACCTCATGTCCTGCCTGTACATCTCAAACACACAAACAGGAGTTACCCCAGGCCATGTAGCTGGTACTTCCAGAAGCAGAGGTTTATATAATGCTCCAGAATATCTGTTAGATATAGATATAAATATAAATAAGCACCACTGATACAATTGCACTGTGGGACCATTTTGAGATGAGTAGGGTTATAATGTATCTGCAAAATCAATTTTTCTGTCTTGATTTAAAAGTGGAGCCCAAAGCAATTTTTGTTGCTTTGAAATTTTTATTTTGCTTTATTAACTCTTCCCAACAGTTGAAAAGAGCCCTTGAAATACACTTATTTAAACCTGCCTTTTTTGTTTGTCTCTCTGCAGAAGGAAAGTTAGCGCTGAATGTTGCCCTTGCCTGTGAACTGCACTTCTGGGGAGAAAATTCGGTCCCTTCCATTTGAGAAATGAAATTTGTTAAGTGCCTGGGCCACAAAGCAGCAATAAGACTGTTGGCAATTTGAAAGACCAAATTAAAAAGAAAAAAAAAAAGAAAAGAAAAAGAAAAAGCAAACAGCTGAGACACCGAGTCTAAAAATTATCTATGACACACGCATGGTAAAATGTTTTTACAAATTCTCCAAAGGATTTTTAATTATTACAGATTGTATTAATTAGGTAATTATGCAATAGATTGTTTTGGAACCATTCCCATCTATTATGTATGCAATGTTATGTATACATGTTTTTTTAAAAGCTGTCCTGCTTTGTAAACCTCAGCTCCAGCTCGACAGTCACAAGGGCTACAGGGGTGCAATAAAGCACATTTTTTGCCACGTTAGACACCTTCTTGGAAGTAGAATAACAAGTGTCCTAAAGGAACTGTGGCACAGAATTTTTTAAAAAGCTGCAAAATATTATCTTTAAGCAGTAATTAGCAATGTACAGAGGATCTGAGGATTAATGACCATCTGGGAGGAGGTACTGGCTCAAAGCTCAGCTCGGGGCCATTAACTCCTACTCATCATTAAAGGGTGTTTATAAGGGGGTTTATACTTTTGTAACAACACACAGAAGAAAGTTCCTGGACAGTTAAAGGTTCATCTAGTTGTTTCAAGTAACAATATATATCTATTACCCCAATTTGGGATAGAATCCGTGGGCTGGGACCAGGAGAAATTTCTTGGAGGAAAAAGGAGAATTTGGCAACACCTTTTTTTTTTTTTCCCACTCCTCTCTCCTTCCACTTTGTGAATCATCAGTGGTATCACAGAATGTTTTGGGTGGGAGGGACCTTAAAGATCATTTCATTCCATGCCCTGCCATGGGCAGGGACACCTTCCACCAGCCCAGGTTGCTCCAAGCCCTGTCCAACCTGGCCTTGGACCCTTCCAGGGATGGGGCAGCCACAGCCTCTCTGGGCAACCAGTAAACAAAACTTATAGCAACCTTGAGAGCAACCCAAGTATTGACCATCTCTAAATGAGTTTCTGCTGCTCTTAATTAGTCCAGAAAAGACAAAAATATGATCAGAAGGGCCTCTTCCTTCTTGCTCTTACAAAAGCCACGCAGGTTAAGTGTTATTACCTGAACTAAGGAAGCACTGACCCAAAACTTTCCACAGCTGGAAAGGAATAGGATGAATGTGCACCACTGCCTCTAATTTTAACATCTTTCTCTTCCCTGGTGATAAATCCACAGCCCAAAGTCTGTATAAAATTAGAGCATGACTTCTCACCCCTCACTCTAATAGGATGAGGAAGCTAAAAACTTTTGTATTTGCTTCACTCCCTTCCTCCACCTCTGTCCTCATCAAAATTCATTTTTCTAGACTATACCACAGTTGAAAAATTGATCCTCAGGTACAAGAAACTCCGGAGGAAAAAACAAACAAACAAACAACAAACCCAAAGCAAAGAACCACAAAAAAACTCCCTCAAAAGAAGCAAATCGCAACTGGAAGAAAATATTTAGCAAGAGATAAACTAGGGGGGAAAAAAAAGCTGTAATATTCACCAGGAAAAGATCTGATGAATACTTCTCTACTCCTTTCCAGGTCCCATTTGCCACCAAGGAGGTCTGATGGGCACCAATGGGCTACCCAAGGGAGCAGTCCCATGTTTCTAAACCAAACAGAAAAGCAGTTTTTAACTGACTTTAATCAACAATGATTAAGAACAAGAGGATACTCCATCCATGCCTTCAGGCTGGATGCCTGGGAGGGACCTGGAGGGAGCAGAGTCCTGCTGGTGGGAAGGCAGAGGCCAGGAGGGCTGTGGAGGGCCCTGGAACCCTGCAGGGAGGGTCAGATGGATATGGAAACCTAATAGGAACTGAAAGCACTAATTGAGCCTGGAGAAGAGAGCTGGAGGGTTTCCTATGACATTTGGGAGGGAATAAAAGAACTAAGAAGAAGACAGAAAAAGAAGCTAGTTTGGGAACATTTTGAATACTTTTTTAATTCTTTTTTGTAATAAAGTGTGTGGTTGAAGAGAAACCACAAATTCCACTGGTACTATAAAATCCCAGTCCTCACCATTACACTGTTTCTACCTCAGCCATCAGGTGATAAAACCTCTTTACCACCTTAGTGCTTCTTCCCAAAACCAGTTATTGATCTCTGATCAGTTCTCTTTAACCCCATTAACACTGTTTTAACTCACATTTATTCCCTGTGCCATCCAAACCAGACATCCCCTTGGAATGAGGAGCCACGTTAAGCACGTGTACAATATCAGTTCATGCTTCCAACACTGAAACTGGCTTGCCAAGTTTTCAAGTGCATTAAATCCTTAAATACATAAAGTAGAAAACCCTCACCTCAGATTTCTAGCCAGCATTTTATATTTTCACTTATCTGATACATTGTTCACGAAAGTGGAATTCTGGTCTTCCCCCTCCTTCCTTTTGGCATGTTTAAACATTTTAAATTGTTCCTCCAGTAGGCCACTAAATGATTTTGTTCTACTTCACCCACATTGCTTCATTTCTTGTATCACTGCTTGTCCTTTGATTACAATTGCAAATGGAAAATGTTTGAAAGTTGGTTTTGTTCTGAGAGCAGCTCAAAGAGAAGTGAATTAGTGGATTAGCCTATTTGGCAAGTGAGACCCCAGCTCAGAGGATACTGTAATAAATTTAACGTTCACATACTGAAGCTCCAAGTCCACGTTGCACAATCAACACCTATTACAGTGTCTAATTTAAAGATAATTGTGGCCTTTACCCAAAATTTGCAACACCTAAATAAACGGGGCTATTCCAGTTAATCAAAACATTTTGTCAGCCCAGTTCTCATGAAACAAAGTGGCTGTTACCCCACTGCAGGATCAGGGGAGACAGGTTTGAAATCAGAAGAGGGATGGAGGTTATTTTGTCCCTGTGTCATGTTTCGAAAGTGGTTTTGAACACCTTCTCCCAGTGCCCAGAGCAGAGCTAACACAGGGTTGGAGGCTTCCCTCCCTCCTCAGCCCCCCTTTTTCTTTCAACTGCCTTGAAATTCAGGTTAAATGACAATCCCAGAATAGGCTTCCTTTTCCGCTGTTGCTAACACAGATTCCCTAAAGGGTTTAGACAGTCTACAGCACGTACTTGTGGGTAACCTGAGCCCTAAGATTGGTGACAACTCGCTGGCACCGAAGTGCAGGCCAATGGTCCATCTGGAGCACCAGGCAGGTGATCCTGGGGGGGTGCACAGTGACCTGCCCCCTCAGCAGAGCCAGGAAACCCTGCACAGGTACCTGACAGCAGGGCTGTGCCTACCAACAAATACCGATCCTAAATTCCTATTAGAGGGAGAAGCTGTTTGTTAAGGCATCTCCTTCCCAACCAGGTGGGCTGGAGCAAAACAGACATAGAATCACCCAGGTTGGAAAAGATCTCTGAGGTCACTGAGTCCAATCTTTGACCTACCACCACCTTGTCTACTAGACCATGGTAGTGAGTGCCACATCCAGCCTCTTCTTAAACACCTTCAGTAACTCCACCACCTCCCTGGGCAGCCCAGTTCCAATGCCCAAAACACAAGCCATAAGCAGGTACTTGTCAGAGCTCATGACATGGCACCACTTGGTGTGTGATGCCGTTATCCTTACCCCACAAAACACATCTGGTACACTTTAAGAGATCACAGAGATCACTCATGGAATACTCTGAGTTGAAAGGGACCCACAGGGATCATCAAATCTAACTCTTAAGCCCATAGTCCATAAGGGATTGAACCCTTGAGTTTCCTTGGTGTTTTTAGCACCATACTCCAGTCAGCTGAGCTAACCTTAGAGTCAATGGAACACTCCTGTTACCTATTCCTTACACACTAAGCCCAAAGTAGAGAGATGATGGGTTTGCCCTCAGTAACAGCACTGCCTTAAGCAGGAGGGATGGGTAATTCATGACGACCACAGCCCCAGGACAAGGCTTCAGTGCAACAGGGGATGCTCAGCTCTGCTCAGGAACTACTCCCATTCTTTTCCTCTTGTGGAACAGCTGTTTCCAGTCTGAAAACCTCAGAGGGAGCCCATTATACACAGAATGGACATATGGGCAACCAGCAGACCACAGGCACCTTGTCCCTCCATAAGGCCTTGGTGCCTCTGAGCTCAGTGAGTCCAAGGCTGGTGCCTGGTATCCCAAGGCTTCACCCAGTACCCGCCCCACTGTCCTGCTGCAGGAGCAGCACATCTGTCATCTCTTACCTCTGTATAAAGCAATGTCTCCTGCCAAGTTCCTACCACCCTTTGAAATGCATCTATTTCTCTGGTGATACAGTGTTTAAACACGTGGCACGGAACCAAAAACCTCCCAACGTGCTGCTTCTGTCGCGCGTTTTGTCAGTAGATCAAAACATTGTAGAATTGGAGACGCAAAGTGCAACTTCTCCAATCCAGCACGGGAAGAAACACACCCAGAAGAGAACAATGTGCTCGTGGTGTGGTTGGAACAAGACGATCTTCAAGGTTCCTTCCAACCCAAACCATCCTAGGATTTTGTGATCACCAAGTACAGTATCGGAAGCAGGAACACCATATCCTAGATCACAAGACATGTTGTTCCAGACACAAGTTATGTTCCAGACATGACACACAGCCTAGTCCTTGCTACCCTTCAAAAACCAAGGTAAAGAACTGGAATGTTTTGTCCAGCCTCAGTGTCAGGACCTGTCTTTACAGGTCACGCAGCAGGAGAGGAACTTGATTATAAAAATCGTGAGAGAACCACATTGCACTTGAACCAAAATTGCAGACCAACAGTGGTCTCTTCACACCACTCCCCTTCTCTAGAGCTCTTATGCTAAGCTTAGATCCTATTTCCATGTGAGCCTCAAACATTAATACCTCTATTGAAAGATTAGTTAAAATGAGAGAAAAATGTCATATTTACAGCCATTGCATAAATATTTTATAGCTAAAATCCATTTACATGAACACACTAAGGCAAAAGGTCTGTCTTTACTTAATTTCATGATTAAGAATTGAAATAAGGGCTGTTGCATAAAGATCCAAAGCTTTTACTCTACCAGGTATGAAAAGATTTCAAATATGTCAAGTTGGACAGGGCTCTGGGTGACCTGTCTAGTGGAAGGTGTCCCTGCCCATGGTAGCAGGTTGGACTTTAAAGATGAGCTTTAAAGGTCCCTCCCAACCTAAACTATTCTATGATTCACTTGGGGGACAATCAGCAGTGAGGTGGATAATTACCAGGCAGCTTAACCCTACTAAATCAAATATGCTGCATAAATACATCAGGGTGTTCACAACCCTCAAGAACTGTTACAAAAAACATAAATAAGAGGTAAAGAGGGACTCCACATGCCTTTGGTATGTGCAGTGACTCTTTCCTAAGAGCTCCAAGAGTGATATAAGAACTGGGAGTATTTTAGGGTGCAAATACATGAGTGTTAAGGACCAACAGCAATGAAAAAGGTGTTTGTTCTTTTACCTACCAGCTGAGGGCGGGTGTATTTTAGCAGAAAACATTCATTTAAACAGTCAAAGTTTGGGTAATCATATTTCTCTCTCATACCTTAATAATTTTCATGATAAATAACTGTGGCTGTACATGCACCATTAATAAACCTTCAGAATCATAAAAAGGAAGAAGAAAGTTAAGCTAGTATGGCTAATTAAAATTAGTTTGTTGGAAGTTTAATCAATTAGCCCAGAGTTTTCAAGGCAATATTGCTGCTGTTCACGCTCAGTGGAGGCACTTTCAGGCAGCCCTTTATTGCAACATCTCTGTTCAGATGACCTTTACTTCATAAAGCACTGAGCTAAACATTTTATACACAGGGCAAAATCTGTTTATTGAAGGATGCCAGGGGTCTGTCTTTAGGAATGTGATTTGGCCTCACTCGGGTAATTTTACCAAAGACAGAAGAAAGTTGCAAACCTATTTGTAGCCTTCATTTGAAAGCCATGCCATTTCTTTGTAATGCTCCCCCTCATCTCAAGTTTTTGAGCTGTGGTTCTGCAAATAAACCTCCTCCCAGACAGATGCTACAGTGATTGTCCTAGCAAACCAAAAAAAAAAAACCAAACCAAAAAACCCACCACAAAACACAGGACAAACAAACAAACATCCTTCCACACAGCAGATGCTTTCTCAATTACTTAATTTGACTTTTGGGTAATACAGACATGATTTCAGGGAATAATATTTTCCAGACAGAACTTATTTATTAAGCAGTTTGTGGTCAGGCATCAATTAACCAAAGTAGGCAGCACGTCTTTGGGAGGCATTAGATTCCCAATTTCAAGAGGGGGAGAGATAAGGGCGTTAACATCACCAGGTTGGTCCCCTCTGTTGGTCCCACCCTGGTGCTTGTGAAAACCCCACTGTTGAAATAACACCTGACATTTCCCCCTGAACTCCTGAAGCATTTGCTGATTCATTGCCCACATGGAGGAAAAAGCACATTTACAGCTCACAACAGTGCCCTGCCTGGCTGAGTGATGGGAAACAGATTTCTGGGCTCACTGTGGAAATCCCAGGTTGTTGTTTTTTTATTTTTTCTTTTGCTTGTTTGCAGCCCAGTTGTGAACTTGGCCTTTTTGCAGTGAATGGGACGAGTAAACCCAAATTGTAGTTAAAAACAGGAAGAAGTGTGTAAATACAGAGATACATAGTGTGAGTCCATCCTGCTGTGTTGCTGTTCTTTGCTTTGAATGGCATGAAGCTGTGTCAGGGAGGTTTAGGTTGGATATTGGAAAAGGTTCTTCCCCCAGAGGGTGGTTGGCACTGACCAGGCTCCCCAGGGCTGTGGGCACAGCACCAAGGCTGCCAGAGCTCCAGGAGAGTTTGGACAATGCTCTGAGGGATTGTTAGGGTGTCCTGTGCAGGGTCAGGAGCTGGACTGGATGATCCTCACGCTATGATCCTGTTCTACACTGCAGTTTCCAGCGAGCCTTCCACGGGCATTTCGTCTCCTTACACAGCACAGCCACCAAATCCTGACCCCAGACAAAGTTATCCCACACAATATTGAGGAATAGGTCACAACATGAGGACAAAGCTTCTGCCACACCATGGTATGACCCTGATCTCAGGAACCAACTAAGGCCAGGCTGTGCTCAAGCAATGGGCTTTTGAGGAAAAGCCTTTTGACTGGGTAGGATACAGCTTGGTAGGGCTCCCTGGTAGAGTCCTGTTGGCCAGAGATATCTTTTGGTAGAGCTGTAAAGATGCTGCTGGACATTATGATGCTTAAAAACCCCAGGGACATTTTTCCATGATCCTATGGGACATGGATTTTCCCCAGAGGCAGCACACGAGGTCATGTTCTTTTCCTGGCGGTTGGTTTTTCTACGTTAAGGTGAAGAGGAAACCACAGATAAACCAAAAAAAGTTGAGCAAAACCCCAGTTCTTGTCCCTGAGTTACACACAGGTCTCAGATTGCCCAAAGCAGTTGTGGCTGCCCCATCCCTGGAAGTGTCCAAGGCCAGGTTGGAACAACCTGGTCTAGTGGAAGATGTCCCTGCCCATGGCAGAGGTTTGAAATGAGAGGAGATTTAAGGTCTCTTCCAACCCAAACCATTCTATGATTCTATGATTTCTTTTCAGACAACCAGGGTATGGGTATAAATCCCTCCATCATCTTTCCTATATTAAACTATTACTGAGTGTTGAAGCTGATTTTAACCTTTAAAGTATCCTCCAAACCATACTGTATTTATTTTTTCTCTTGGACAGAGAGGTGTTCAACCCAAATGTTGTCGTTAATCAGAGCAGCTTAAGTTCCATACAAGCACACTTTCTGCAAATTCTGGATCTTCTCTCAAAAGTATTCTTGCCTACAAATCATTCAGAAATTCGGATCTAATTCTAGCTTTCTATTGATCAAGAACAGCATATTCATATTTGCCAACTCCTATGAACAATACATTTCCATAATCTATCAATTAATATATACACTTTAAGGAATGGAATGTTGTGGAAAATGCTACTAAGAGATCACTTGCAATAAAATATATATATATCTCTATAAGAATAGAGTATGAACCCAAATCCCAGCAAAAAATTGAACCTTTTTTAAGGCAGTCAATAATTTCTTGACAATTCCTTTAAATTTAAAGGTTAAAAAATAACCAAACTTGTATTAATATTTGACTATACTGATAAATATATTTGGGTTCCAAGTCATTAAAGAGAAAGTACAACTAATATCCTGAAAAAAATTAAAAGGCAGTTGTGATTATTCCATAGAAATTTTCAGCCCACAAGTTTAACAGTTGCTTATCAAAGGTTCATTTAAGGTCTTCCCCATGTTCCTGCTCTTCCCTGTTTGGAGCTGCTCGCAGTCTGTCCCCTGCTCCAACTTTTTCTTTGAGATGATATATTTTCATTTAGCTCCATACTTTCCAGCTCATTATGTTTTCATTCCTATTCTCCATCTCAAGGAGTTTGAGACATCTGAACCCCTTGGGAAACACATCCTTCATTTCTGAAGCTTTCCAGGTGTTAAT